AGGCCATCCCCAAAGCTACCAGATACTGCTGGAATGAAGCGCAGAGTGTTCTTGAGCAGACACATGTGCCCCTCCCCCAAAAAATATGCAAAAGGAAGCAGGTGAGCTTGTCGTTCATCGGCCCTGCTCCCAGCCTTCCCCAAAGAAGCAAGATGTCCTGGAGGTCTCCCTCCTTGCTTTTGATGGCTTCTCCATCAGCCCCATTTATGTGGCGATGCCATAATCTACTTCACCTGTTCCTTGCTAATGGAAGAAATACCATGTTTTTCATATTACAACCAACACTGTCATAAAAATCTCTTTAAATATATCCTTCTTCATTTTTATGTTTACCTATAGGATAAATTCCCAGGTCACAGTTCATGAGTAAAGCCAGGCATGATGGCTCATGCCTGTAATTCCAGCACTTGAACGGTTAAAGGGAAGGGAATCTTGAGCTGGAGGCTAACCTGAGCTACATATTGAGACCCTATTTCCAACAAAGCAAAACAAAACCCAAAACAAAGAAAAGCAAAAACATCATATTTGTGCAGAGGACAACTGCCCTGCCTGTGTGTGTTTGGGGGACAATGAGAATCCTAAGCAGAATAGAAGCTGCTTCTCTTTCTAGAAGACAAAACGCCCAAACCCTCCCTCATCTTCCACCCATGGTCATGTGACGGGGCTCGGCCTTCAATGCTAGATCTGTAGTAAATGACCCGGGGAAGAGGCAAACAGAGAGATCAGGGTTGGGGATGGTACCTCTACCCTGCCCGGTTCCCAGGGCCTGCTCTTGGCTGCTATCCCAGCTGTTTGGCCTTCTGCCTGTTTCCTTAGCCTGACTCCCACCCACCTCTGCGCAGCCACCAGGGATGCTGGGAGCTCCTTCCATGTCTTTTCAATCAGCCCCTTTCTTGCTTCAATCAGCCTGGCTTCGATTCTGCTACTTCCACTTCAGATCCTGATTCTGTGTGTGTGCGTGTATGTGTGTGTGTGTGTGTGTGTGTGTGTGTGTACATGCAAGCAAGTACTGGGACTTGAACTCAGGGCCTTGAGTTCTGAGCTTTTTCAATCAAGAATGGTGCTCTACCACTTGAGCCACATGTTCACTTCTAGCTTTTTGGGTGATTAATTGAAGGTAAGAGTCTCTGGGGGCGGGGGGCGAGATGGGAAGGGATGGGAAGGGGAAACAAAGGAGGCTACAATACTTGATAAGAAATGTACTCATTATCTTGCCCATGTAATTGTAACCCCTCTGTACAGTATTTTCACAATAAAAAAAGAAGAGTCTCTCAGATTTGTCGGCCTGGGCTGGCTATGAACCTGAGTAACTAGGTTTACAGGAGTGAGCCACCAGGACTCAGCAGGTTCTGTACTCAAGATCATTAGGCCAGGAGAGAAATGACACACTGTGCTTTAGATACGACATCTGAAAAGAACATGGTGGAATGTCAGGCTACATACCTGTAGCAGCGGGTGAGCAGAGTCTCCTGCCCTCCAAGGGTTCACAGTCCAGACGGGAAGGCAGAAGAGTAGACAGGGGTACGAGGGGATGCTGCAGGATTGCAGCTGAGAGAGCGGAGGGTGAAATGAGAACCTTGACAAGAGGCTCCTCACCTGGCCTTGTAGACCAAGAGAGCTTCCTCCGAGCTGAGTCGACAATGAGAGGCAGTTTGTCAGTGGGAAGGAGGCCAGAGGCCAGAGGCCAGGCCAAGGAAACAGCATGATGGGAACACTGCAGGTGTAGCATTTTCCAAGAATTGTTATATGTTGCATGGACCTGGGCTGTACAATTCTGAAGGACAGGGAGAAAGGAAGAGGGAGCAAGGTAGAGGCAATGTGTAGTAGCTCACACCTGTAATGCCAGCTACTTGGTAGACAGAGATTGATTGGGAGGATTATGGTTTGAGAATAGCCTGGGCAAAAGGCTAGCGAGACCACATCTTAACGTATAAGCTGAGAGTGGTGGTTTACAACTATAATCCCAGCTACTTGGGAAGTCATAGGTAAAATAATCTTAGTCCTAGGCCAGCCTGAGAAGAAAGGAAGAAGGAATGTAGGAAGGAAGGAAGGAAGGGAGGGAGGGTGGGAGGGAGGGAGGGAGGGAGAGAAGGAGGGAGGGAGGGAAGGAAGGAAGGAAGGAAGGGAGGGAGGGAGGGAGGGAGGGAAGGAAGGAGGGAGGGAAGGAGGGAGGGAGGGAAAAAGGGAGGAAGTAAGCAAGCAAGCAAGGAAGGAAGGAAGTAAAGGAGGGAGGAGGGAGGGAGGGAGAAAAGGAAGGGAGGGAAAGGAAAGGAAGGAAAAGAAAGAAAAAAGAAAAGAGAAACTCAAGACTCTGTAGAAAAATAAAACAAAAAGAACTGGGAGTATGGCTCAAGTGGTAGAACACCTGCCAAGCAAACTTAAGTCCTGAGTTCAAATCCCATACTGCCAAGAGGGCAGGGGTGGGGAGGATGAGATAAGCAGAGGCCAGATCCTGAAAGTAGAAAACAAAAATGGAGAAGAAGTTAGGAACAGATATGAATTTTATAAAGATTATTCCAGCCAGGCGCCAGTAGCACTTGTAATCCTAGCTACTCAGGAGGCTAAGATCTGAGGATCGTGGTTCAAAGCCAGCCCGGGCAGAAAAGACCCTCATCTCCAATTAACTATCAAAAAGCCAGAAGTGGAGCTGTAGCTCAAGTGGTAGAACACTAGCCTTGGGCAGAAAAGTTCAGGGCCAGCAACCAGGTCCTGAGTTCAAGCCCCAGGATTAGCGCACGCGCGCACGCGCGCACACACGCACACACACACACACACACACACACACACACACACACACACACACCACGATTATTCCGGTTGTACCTTGATCAAAGTGACAAAAGAAACCAGTTTGGTCTCTGCAGAGACCTAGGACAGTGAAGGGGCTGAGCTTTGGCCTCGGCCGTGGCGGTGGCGGTGGCGGTGGCGGTGGAGGTGGAGGTGCGGAGAGGACAGCCCTGGAGGAAGTAACTTCTCGAGAACATGGTGACTAAGATGGGGAAAGACGTCTTATCTTGCCTGGTCTTGTGGTTACCTCACCCAGGTGGCTCCTTTTTGTCCAAAGTCCTCTAGTGTTAACATTCTTTGTCATTTGCATTCCAGAATTTCAACTCTCTGAGGCCAGCACTGAGGTGCATGCCTATAGTCCTGGTCCCAGAAGGGACTAGGGCAGTAGGATCCTGAGATCAAGCTAGCCTGGCTTAATTAGTGATTCTGTCTCTCTCAGTAAACAAAAAAGGTTTTAACTCTTACATACGCCTGTTTGTCCAGAGAAACAATTCTCATGTATTTTCCTCTCTCTTTCCTAGAGTAAAACTCCATATACTGGGCTGGGAAGGTGGCTCAGTGGTAGAGCGCTTGTCTTGCATGCCTGAGGCCCTGGGTTCCATTCCTCAGCACCACATAAGCAAAAAGAAAAAAGCCAGAAGTGGCGCTGTGGCTCAAGTGGTAAAGCGCTAGCCTTGAGCTGAAGACCTGAGGGATGGCACCCAGGCCCAGAGTTCAGGCCCCACGACCAAAAAACAAAAACAAACAAAAAAAAACCCCAAACACCTCCATATACTCCTCTCTCCTCTCTGTCCTCTGTCCCCAGCTGCTCGCCCATGGCTCTTCCAGCCCTGTACTGTTTGTCACAGTGGCTGTGCCCACATGGATACAATGTTAACTAAAACCCACAGTGTACATAGGCTTCATGTTTTCTCTGGTACATTCTATGATTCTTGACAAATGTATCCACATCAGTGATACAGAAAAATAACTGCCCTCAAAATCCCCATGATTCCTGCCCCCTCCTCCCTATTACCCTCCTTCCCTCCCTCCCTCTGCCTCCCTCCCTCCCTCCCCTCTCAACCCTGGACAACAATGGGCCTTCTGTCACCCTCTATTCTGTATTTTACAGGAAGTAACCTGGTAGGGTCTTGTGCTGGATGTTTCTCTGACTTACTGAGGTGTGTGTCCATTTCCTCTTTGCCTTTTTGTGGCTTGGTACCCCATCTCTTTCTAGTGTGGGTAGAGCCCATGAATCTACCCACCTCAGCCAGCACATCTTGGGTGCTTCCAAGGTTTTGCAGTAACAGATACCGTAGATGTCCCTGTGCGGGCTCTGTGGGGGCATGAGCTTCTCCTCTCCTTCGGAGACATTTGAAATGGTGGTAGGAACACCCCCATTCATTTTCCAGCTCCCTCCCACCGCTGGGTGAGGTAACCCTAGCTAGTAAAAGAGACTGGATGTGAGAGCGCATACCTGTAATCTCAGCACTCAGGGAGCCAAAGCCAGCCAAGGAAAGGGGGAGGAGGAAGAAGAGGGAGGAAGCAGGCGGACAGACAGGCAACGGGTCTTTGGTGTGTACAGAAATAAAATGACTCTGGGGAGAAAATTGTTCTTACTGGAGGCCCTTCCATGGGTCTCCCAAACATCCTGGGATTATATGCGGTAGACAGAGGCACTGGCCCTCACCTAGGTTTAAGGTGTCTAGATACAAAAGAAATTAACTTTCTTGGAGGGCGAGGGCTGAAACAGTCTTGCTATATAGCTCAAGCTGGCCTCGAACTCTCAGTCCTTGTCCCTCAGCTTCCCAAATGCTGGGATTATGGGCATGAGCTACCTGCAATAGCAGGTTGTTGGTGGCTCATGCCTGCAATCCTGGCTACTGAGGAGGTTGCGATCTGAAGATCTCAGTTCAAAGCCAGCCCAGGCAGGAAAGCCCTTGGGACTCTTATCTCCAATTAACCCCCAGAAAACCAGAAGTGGAGCTATGGCTGAAAAGTCATAGAGCCCTAGCCTTGAACAAAAAAGCTCAGGGACAGTGGCCCTGAACTCAAGCCACAGAACTGACAAGAAAAGAAAAGAAACTACAGATGTAACCAGTAATTAAGAGCATCTCACTGTGAACGCCAGAAGGAGAGCAGCCTCCAGTTCCTATTCCTACCTGTGGCTTCGACGCCCAGGGCCTCACTCCACTCTCTCCCAATTCAAAGATGACCAGAGGCACACAGAGGTGGATGGCCAAGTTCATTTGCACAGTTTATTGAAAACCAAACAGGTTAAGGTAGAAAGACAGATGATTTCTTTATTGTAAATACAGCGGTTACAAAAGAGAAGTAACAAATCTGGTATTAGAAATTTCTTTTTTAAAAAAAAAAATCACTCAACAAACTCCAAGTATGTCTGAGCAATCCCAAGAACTTACAACACGCCAACCTGTGGGTGGGAATGGCCTTGCCTCACCGCCTGGAGCAGATGCTGGGGACAGGCGGAGGTCCGCATGGCCATCACTTGGGATGTCACCTGGGAACACCAAGGGCCCAGGGGATATTTGTATAGGACCAGAGTTAACATGAACCTTTCTGCTTCGGTCTCTTACTTCTCATGATTCATTGTTACAGTTCTGTAGCGCAGTATTTAGGAATGGAAGACAAGTACTGAATGGGAAGACATGGAGGAGAGGGAAGGAGAGATGACAGGACTGCGCGGCACTTCCTCCACCTAATGGAGAGGGGATGGGTCATGCCCTGCCCCCCACGCCTCCCACCAGCATCACAGAAGACAGAACCGAAGCAGCTGGCAGACTGACCAAAAAGAGAACAAAAGGAGAAGCACAGAGACAGCCCAAGGAAAGGGCACCATGTGCGCTGAGGACCACGAAAGAAAGAAAATCTGTACAAATGAACCCAACAGATTACTGGTTGAGCAGAAACCACGAAAGGGTTGAGGGGAAAAAAGTGTAGGTGGCCAAGAAAAGGCAGGTCCTGGCTAGAGAGCAGGACAGAGGAGTAAGCCTTTGAAAGGAAGGGCCAAGGCACTAGGAAACTTCAATGTAGCCTCTGGTCACCCCTGAGAAGCTAAGGAGGAAGATCTAGGGGTCCTGGAGTAGGGGAGGAGGCATAAGAGGGGGGGACTGGCAGGGGTCCTCTTTCCCTGGGAGACTGCAAGGCACAGCGTGGTTATGGGTCAAGGTTGGTAGCATTATGTGCTGAAGGCAGCCTTGAGCTCCTTGAAGGCCGCTCGGCGTAGCCGCCTCTCCTCCTCCTCCCGCTTCCGTTCTTCTTGCTCAGCTTTTAACTCTGCTTCAAATTTACTGGAGGATGACAAGGCCTGGGCCTGCAGAGAAACAGCAAACACAGATTGATAGATGAGTAGGAGGGGAGATGGAAATCCTCACCCACGCAGGCCTTGGACAGGTGGAGCTGGTCCTGCCCAGGGCATAAGCCTGGCACCGCTGTTTCCTTTAAACTTACAAGCTGAACGCAAGTTAGTGGCACAAACAGTGTTGCTGGTTTACACAAGCACTCTGTGGGTGTGTGTGCGTGTGCACACACGCATGCTTGTGTTGCTATACTGGCACTAGCATTCAGGCTCTGGGTACAGTCCCTAAGTTAATTCCCTTAAGGTTAGAGCTCTAGCACTTAAGCCACAGTTCCACTTCCAGCTCCTTTTTTTTTTTTGGCTGGTTAACTGAAGATAAGAGTTTCAAGGATTTTCCTGCCCTGCCTGGGTTTGAATCGAAATTCTCAGTCTCAGGCTCCTGAGTAGTAAGATTACAAGGGTGAGCCGCTGGTGCCTGGCCATGCCATAAAATTTCTAAACAGCACATTGAGTTTTTTTTTTTTTTGGTCCAGTCGTGGGGCCTGAACTCTGGGCCTGGGCGCTGTCCCTCAGCTCTTCAGCTCAAGGCTAGTGCTCTACCACTTGAGCCACAACGCCACTTCCGGCTTTTTTCTTTCTGCTTATGTGGTGCTGAGGAATCGAACCCAGGGCCTCATGCATGCAAGGCAAGCACTCTACCACTGAGCCACCTTCCCAGCCCCACATTGAGTTTTTAATAAAAGCTGTTAAACTGCTCTCAAAAGTAGCTGTTCCTCTGCCTCCATCTTGGATTGGAAGTACTCATTTCCCCCTAATTCAGCCAAAGCTTATCATTAACAGTCTTACTTTTTTTGCCAATCTGATAGGGAAAAAAAAAGTTGGCATCTCCTCATACTTCCTCTTTGGGGAACTGCCCATGTGTACCATTTCCTCACTTACCTATTCAGCTGGTTTTTCTTTAAAACTTGTATTCGCCACATAATTTTGATTTTAGTCCCTTGTTACATATTTTTTTAGATACTTTCTCCTTGTCATTTGCTTTAACTTTACGGCATCTTAAATTGACTTAAAATTTTAATGTAACCAAACCTATCAACTATTTTCTTTTTGTCTTTTGCTTTTTTTTTTTTTGTCCTGTCCTGTCCTGGGGCTTGAACTCTGGACTTGGGTGCTGTCCTTGAGATTCTTTTGCTTAAGACTAGTACTCTACCACTTGAGCCACAGCACCACTTCCAGCTTTTAATGAGTAGTTTATTGGAGATAAGAATCTTATGGACTTTGCTGCCTGGGCTGGCTTCAAACCACAATTCTCAAATCTCAGCCTCCTGAGTAGCTAGGATTACAAGTGTAATCCTAATTTTTGCCCTGCTGTCTTTTGTATTTTATGCCATGTTTATGCCAAAGCTTTAAATCCATTTCTGCTATCACCAAAAAACCCAAACATCTCTACTACTCCATTTGCTTGGCCCCAAAAGCTCTACTTTGTTCCGGTCTGATTTAATGTTTTTTTATTTATTCCTTATTAGTTTATTTACTTGCAGTGCTAGAGATTGAACCCAGGCAACCCAGACAAACACTCTATCTCTGAGCTACAGCTCCAAGGCTAACCTCATCTTAAAACTGCTCCTGCTCAGCCCAGCTCACACCTGTCATTTCCAGCTACTCAGGAGGCTCAGATCTGAGGATTGTGGTTCAAATTCAGCCTGGGCAGGAAAACTCAGTGCAATGCTTATCTCCTATCAGCAAAAAGCTAGAAGTGGAGCTATGGCTCAAGTGGTAGAGTGCCAGACTTGAGCAAAAAAGTCATGCAAAGTTACAAGACGCTGAGTTCAAGGCCCAGTACGGGCACACAAAACACAGCTGCTTCTTTCTTCAAGTGTTGGGTTTTCTCCAGAGTTTCCTTGGATCTCTGTTTGTGTCTTTTTCTCTAAAGCCTTCACAGCCAGCCTTCCCCAAGTCCAGTCACCTTTACCATTTGCCATTCATTGGTAAATCTCTTACTTTCAACTCAAACTTTAGGAGTTGGCTCCTGTTGGCATTGTAGCTGGAGCCCATCAAGTTTCCACTCCTGGCTTCACACCTTTTAATTCCTGTGGCAAACTCATTTGTATGTGAAGACTAACCCAACTGCTGGCCTGGGAAAGGGGCAATCAGGGAAATGATATGCCAGCCCCTCCCATGAGGGGTTACAGAATAACGTGTATGCAAAAATCACTACACAGTCCTCAGAACCTAGTACTCTATCCTGGAGGATACTCAGAGTCAGGCACAAGGATCTCCCAGGATAATGAAAATACATTTGTGGCCTAGTTCTATCCAATAAGAGGTCATTCAAGATGACTTATAACCTGCCTGATCCTGGTGGTTCATGCTGTAATCCTAGCTCTTCATGAAGCTCAAGTTTCAGGGTCCGAGTTTGAAGCCAGCCCAGGCAGAAAAGTCCATGAGAAACTTTTTTTTTTTTTTTGTCAGTTGTGGGGCTTGAACTCTGGGCCTGGGCACTGTCCCTAAGCTCTTCAGCTCAAGATGAGTGCTCTACCACTTGAGCCACAGCCCCACGTCAGGTTTTCTGGTGGTTTATTGGAGATAAGAGTCTCATGTTCTTGCCTGGGCTGGCTTTGAACCTTGCTTCCATATCTCAGCCTTCTGAGGTGCTAGGATTACAGGCGTGAGCCACCTGTACCCATCATGAGAAACTCTTATCTGCAATTAACCACCCAAAAGCCCAAAGTGGAAATGTAGCTCAAGTGGCAGAATACCAGACTTGAGCAAAAAAGCAAAGTGGGAGTGAGAGGCTCTGATTGCAAGCCCCTGTACGAGCACACAGGAAAAATAAATAAGTAAATAAGAATGCTTGCAAGCAACCTAAGGTTCAGCCAATAGAGACACAGCTTTCCCACGCCAGAAGTACCATGGACTTCACATCATTAACTTTTGTTTTTCCTGAAACCACTCCATGCAGGGCAAGGGGAGTCCTGAATTAAAACCTCAGCTCCACTCCTCACAGCTCTACAAACTGCACTTCCTCTCTCGCACTCTTTTTTTTTTTTGGTTGGTCGTGGGGCTTGAACTCTGGGCCTGGGCGCTTTCCCTGCGCTCTTCAGTTCAGGGCGAGCACTCTACTACTTGAGCCACAGCACTACTTCCGGTCTTCTAGCAGTTTATTGGAGATAAGACTCTCACCGAGTTTTCTGCCCGGGGCTGGCTTTGAACCTCTGCCTGGGGCTGGCTTTGAACTGTGATCCTCAGATCTCAGCCTCCTGAGTAACTAGGATTACAGGCGTGAGCCACCAGAGCCTGGCTTCTCTCTCCCACTATTAATCCAGTGTCAGGAATACCGAGGGTTCTAAAGTTGTCTGTTGATCCATACGTTGCCCTGACCTCTGTCATTGCCTTTCTGGACTGATGCCTTCATCAGACGTCTGTGGAGAGCTCTCCGCAGGCATCGGCTCTCCTAGGGCCTTCCCCACTCACATCCAGGCCCTGCAGTCCCCACCAGGCTGAGCACTGGAATGCCCTGCACAGCTGGATCAACACCTGTTTCTGAGTCCCTCCCCGGAGAAGCCCCAGGCAGACCTGAGCGGGGCCTGGGAAATGAGTGTGCGCATGGTTCCAGCACTCAGCAGGCTGGGGAAGGCGTCCCTCCACCTGGGGAGGATCAGAGCTTTCGGTCTGTATCCAGATGCCATCCCAACCTTGGAGTCACTCGCCATGGCGGCGTATGTGGCAGGAGTGGGAAGTGCGGCTCAGTTCCCACCTGAGTCGTGTTCTGCAGACTTGCCCTGTACTCTTGGCCTGGCGACGCCTCCCCACCTCTGATACTCACTGCCCTCCATGCCTTGGAGCCCTCACTCTGTTCCCACGGCTGGCTGGAACGCCTTCCTTCCTTGATTACAAGGTGAACCTCCATTCATCTCGGAACATCTGTCACCAGCGTCAGCTCTTTTACAACCTCTGCCAAATTCCAGTGGTGATGCTCTCCATTCGTCACTCATGCAAACGTTTATTGAGGGCCATTACGCAGCAGGCGCTGTAATTACAAAGGTAACCCACCTACTCTGCCTTGGAGTGTGGGTGAGGAGGCAGACATATAAATATAGCAAGACGAAAAACATTTATTGTTACGCTTTTCATCTGTCTCCTGCTTATGAAAATAATGCACACTCACTATAGAACATTACAGGACTATAAAGGGAGTCTCTCCTATATAGCCATTACTAATACTTTTGCATATAATTATACAGGTTGTAGTTAATGTGTGTGTGTGTGTGTGTGTGTGTGCACGTGTGCGTGCATGTGCGCGCACATGCACACGCACACACACTGCTCCTGAGGCTGGCTTGAACTCAGAGCCTGAACGCTGTCCCTGAGCTCAATGCTAGAACTCTACTACCTCAATGCTAGAACTCTACTACTTGAGCCATACCTCCATTTGCCCCTTTTTTGGTAGTTAATTGGAAATAGGAGGCTCATAGGCTTTCATGCCTTGGCTGGCTTCAGTAGCTAGGATTACAGGCATGAGCCACAGACACGTTAAATATTTTAACAAAATCAGATGTCAACATATTACTTGGCTTAAATTATTTTAAGTATATCTGTCCACACAGCTGCACTTTCAATTCTTTTTTTTAAATTTGTGGTGCTTGGATTTGAACTCACAGCTTTGTGCTTGTTAGGCTGGCATTCTATAGCTTGAGTCACATCTCTTGCCCTTTTTGCTTGTGTTATTTTTGAGATAGTGCTTGCTCTTTTGTTCATAGCCAGCCTGGAAGGTGATCCTATCTATGTTTTTCCACCCTAGCTGGGATGATAGACAGGCACCACCATGCCTAGCTTTTTCTCATGAAATGGGATCTCAGAACTGTTTGACTAGACTAGGCTGGAACCACGGTCCTCCTTATCTCAGCCTCTTGCATACCTACACCACTGCACCTACTGATTGAGATGGGGTTCATTAACTTTTGCTCAGGCTGGCCTCCAGTGGCAATCCTCCTGATCTCTGCCTCCTGAGTAGTATATTTCAATCTTGCAGGATGGGAAAAGAATTTTTGGGGGGACAGAGTCTTTCTAGGTCTTTCTATGCTGGCCTTGGACCCTTGATTCTCCTGTCTCAGCATCCTGATTGTTGGGCTCATAGGCATAAACCACTATGTCTGGCCCATCATTCAAATTTGATGGCTGCAGAGTGTGCATACATGGACTGCACCAGAATCGCCTTCCTTCTCTGATCATGAAAGTTTTGGTTGTCTCCAAGGTCCCTCTATCTCTGATAATGCTGCGTGAAAATCTCTGCCCAGATATCTATGTAAATTTCTAGTGCCTCAGAAGGATAAAATCCCAGAGGCAACAGCAAGTTAACAGCAAGTCTCAGACTGAGGTGCTGATGGCTCACATCTGTGATCCTAGCTATTCAGGAGGCTGAGATCTGAGGATCATGGTTCAAAGCCAGCCAAGGGGAAGGAAAGTCTGTGAGATTTTTATCTCCAATTAACCAACAGAAAAGTGGAAGTGTAGCTGTGGATTAAAGCGGTAGAGAGACAGCCTCTCAAAAAGAGCTTAAAGACAGTGCCCAGGCCCCAAGTTCAAGCCCCATAACTGATTTTTTTTAAGTGTCCAAGAATAACTTGAGAAGGAAAAACCTTGTGCCACTGCCACATGGAAGAGGCGTGGAGGATGGGGCCAAGGGAGGAGGGGCAGTCCCCGGCTGGGTGAATTAGGAGTAAGCTACCCTGACAGGTAGGTTTTTGCTGCTGTTGAGTTGTCATTCCACAAAGCAGTTTATGAACACAGTGCCACTCCCTTCATCATTCTCCCCACAGTCCTCCCAACCCCACACCTTCCCTCAGCATCCTTAATTTTGTAGGAAATGCATTGAATTTTAAGACTGACAGGCGGCTTTGAAAGGAGGAGGTTTTCTAGGCAGAAGCACTGGAATGGGGCAGCAGGACCTGTGGCCATTGAAGGCCACTTGTGAAATGGCCTGGCTGCATGTGAAGGCAGTGCACAGGGCTGGAATGGGGCTCAAGCCAGGTTATCCCAGGTCAGAAAAGGTGGACCCAGGGACTCACACTCATCCCACCTGTGCCACATGGCCCTGTGCACCGTGGCAGTAGACTGTCCACACCTGGGCTTCAACCCCAGCCAGTCCAACGCATCACAAGAGGCTGCAAGTGTGGCTCCATGGATGCATGGGGAGGCCCTATCCCAGCAGAATGCACCCCTCTCTTCCCTCTACTTCCCCTCTTGAGGCAGGGCAGTGGACCATGTATGCCCCCTCAGGAGGGCAGATACTTCATCCTCTTCTCCCTTGTGATGGAACTGTGTTTCAGAGGCTGAGACGCCTGGCTTTGCTGGGCACAAATCAATAAACCCATCAGTGTGAAGGCAGGAAGAGGAGGCCAAAGCACATCCAGGACAGGCCACTTGTTTGCTGATGTTCTAGGCACAGCATGTGGCCAGCCTGTCTCTGACACCGTGAGCACATAAGGTTTGCAGAGCAGGAAGATCATGGGGTTTGACTCCCAGAATGATCGCAGACAAATAAGAACAGACTCCTGCTTAGGGAATCTAAGCAGGCTGAGAAATGTCACCAAGGGACACTTGGTCCCTGCCTAAGCTCCCCAAAGTTCAAACTCCCTTGGAGGCTGGCAGGATTGGCAGGGAGCCCCAATAGCTCAGACTACACTCCAGTGCCCACAGTAAGCCAAACATTTGATCAACAACGTAGATGTGTGTTCCTTTCATCCTCAGAGAAATCCTATCATCAACCTCATAGCACAGACGATGAAACTGAGGCATAATGGCAGCAAGATAAAGCCTGTGGAGGAAGCAGGATCTGCACTCAGGCTGTGTGGGGCAGACCCAGTTCCCTTTGCATGCCATCCCTGCCAGGATTCTCCGGGGCTCCTTTTCCCAGGTATCCAGCCCCGCCCAGGCCCCACTACTCACTGGTCTGTAACCCAAAGGCTTAAGAGGCAAAGCTGGTAGAGCTGTTGAAGGAACTAACTGGGGATTGGGGAAAAAAGTGAGTGAGTGAGTGAGTGAGTGAGTGAGTGAGTGAGTGAGTGAGTGAGTGTGTGTGTGTGTGTGTGTGTGTGTGTGTGTGTGTATGCACACGCTGGTAGTAGTGCTTGAACTCAGAGCCTGGGCACTTGTCCCTTAGCTTTTTTGCTCAAAGCTGACACTCTACCATTTGAGGCAAATGTCCACTTCCATGTGGTGGTTAACTGGAGATAAGACTCTCACAGACTTTCCTGCCCAGGCTGGCTTTGAACTGTGATCTTCAGATCTCAGCCTCCTGAGTAGCTAAGGTTTGCTGAAAGAATTCTTTAGCAAACTCTAGATGGGAAGAAGGTCTTGGAGCAGGAAGTGGTGCACAGGTTCTGCTCTGTCTACCCTCGGTTGTTAGTCACATGACAGATGCCTCGTCACGCCTTTCCTTGAGATGGTACAGGAGGTACCTCCTTGTCCTGACAGAGTGAAGGGAGCAGTCAGTGGGCAGGGAGTGCCCAGGGCACTGCTGGAGCGAGGGGAGGAGCCAGGGGCTTTGCATACCAAGAACAGGGACCAACTGACCTTGGCTTCGAAGAAGTCCTTGGCACCTTTGACACCTTCCAGGGCAACATTTATCTCGGAGAGCTTGGCCAGGGCCAGGAGCCCGCTGTCTTCCCGCAGCTCTCCAGCTGCAGCCTTGTGGAAAATGAGCAGGAACTGTGGAAGGAGAAGGACAGGAGGGTGGCTACATTCTGAGGATCTGGCTGAGAAACCAACAATAATCCCTCTGGCCCAAGTCCATACTTTTTTTTTTTTTTCCGGTGGTAGTGAACTCAGAGCTCACCAAGCAGGAACTCTACCACTAGAGCCGTGGGCCCATCCCTATTTGCTTTAGTTATTTTTTTCCACTAGGGTCTTCAGCTGATCTAGACCACAACCCTTCTATGTATGTTTCCCTTCACAGGTAGATGCCAGGCATACTCCACCATACCCAGCTTTTTACTCATTGAGATGAGGTCTCAAGACGTCTTTTATCTGTCTCCTGTCTAGGCTGGCCTCAAACTCCCATCTTCCTAACATTAGCCCTCTGAGCATCTAGAATTACAAGCATGAGCACTATACCTGTCTTTCCAATGACTTTTTTTTCTCCAAGCATTTGAAAAGGGTGCTTATGTGTGTAGGCAATGAGTTGTTTCATCCCTTACCAGACTGTCATGAAATAACAACGCCGGGTTAGGAATGTGGATCACTGGCAGAGTATATAACATAGGGGAGGCCATGTGTTTGATCCTGTTCCAATAAATAAAATAAATGCTATTCACCTGCCACTAATGCCACTACTAGGAGTCTATTCATCAGAAACGTACACAATAATTCAAGCATTAGCTATACAAGCAAAACCTGGCAACATCCTAGCCTATAGCCATGGAAGAAAAATCAAATAATTCTGCATACCATATACTATATATATATATGTGTGTATATATATATATATATATATATAGTGTATATATATATATATATATATATATATGTATATATATATATAATATGTAGTTTTGGATTTTTTGTTGGTTGTGGGGCCTGAACTCTGGGCCTGGGCACTGTCCCTCAGCTCTTCAGCTCAAGGCTAGCGCTGAGCCACAGCGCCACTTCCAGCTTTTTCTGCTTATGTAGTGCTGAGGAATTGAGCCCAGGGCCTCATGAATGCAAGGCAAGCACTCTACCACTGAGCCACCTTCCCAGCCCTGCATATACTTTTTAAAGGTAAATAATTTAACTTTTTCTGCCACTACTGGGGTTTAAACTCTCATACTTCACTCAGCTTGCTCACTTAGCTACAGTTCTACCATTTGATCTATACTTCTAGTCTGGCATTTTGCTGGTTAATTAGAAATAGAGACTCATGGGGCTAGGAAGGTGGCTCAGTGGTAGAGCGCTTGCCTTGCATGCCTGAGGCCCTGGGTTCAATTCCTCAGCACCACATAAGCAAAAAGAAAAAAAGCCAGAAGTGGCGCTGTGGCTCAAGTGGTAGAGCGCTAGCCTTGAGCTGAAGAGCTGAGGGACGGCGCCCAGGCCCAGAGTTCAGGCCCCACGACCAGACCCTCCCCCCTCCCAAAAAAAAAAAAAAAGAAATAGAGACTCACATATTTTTCTACCCAGGTTGACATCAAACCTTGATCTTCTGGATCTCAGCTTCCTGAGTAGCTAAGATTACAGGTGTGAGCCACCAGAGCCTAGCTAATTGAATATTTTTGATTTTTTTTTTAACCATCTCACTTTTTCTCATAGGTTCTACTTTTGCATTATCACTTACTTCTCTTTTTTTCTGTCATGGGGCTTGAACCCTGGGCTTGGGCACTATCCCTGCGCTCTTCAGCTCAAGGCAAGAGCTCTACTGCTTAAGCCACAGCGCCACTTCCGGTTCTCTGGTGGTTTATTGGAGATGAGTCTCACAGACTTTCCTTCCCGGGTTGGCTTTGAACCGTGATCCTCAGATCTCAGCCTCCTGAGCAGCTAGGATTACAGGTGTGAGCCACCGGTGCCCGGTGCTTACTTCTCATTGTTAAAAGGTCTTCCAAGCTTTTGGTATGTTTTAGGTACATTTTAAATACTTTTACTCTATCATCTACCACTTAAATTATGTTCATGGTAATTTATTTTTTGAGATGGGGTCTTGCTATATTGCTTGATCTGGTCTTGTACCTGTGACTCAACTGATCCTCCAGTCCCAGCCTCCCAAGTAGCTGGGACTGCAGATGTGTGACACCCTGCCTGGCTTGCTTATGGAATTTTTGCACTTTAAAACATTTGACACAAACACTATCCAATCTTTTTACTTGTTCTCACCAGAGTTATGCTTAGCAAAACATTTCTTGCCACCGAGGTTACACAAACACTCACCTGTGTTTTCATCTACTATTTTTATGGCCTCTGTTTTTTAAAAACATGTAAATATTTAATCTTTGAAACTTATTCTGTTCTCTCTGGTGAGGGTAAATCATTAACCTTATTTTCTACCAAATAGTTACTTAGTAAATCTTGTGCTATTTATTAATCTATCCTTGACTCTTCCTCCAGATTCAAAATGTCAGATCTAACAAATGAAACCTTGAATTGATATCATTACAGGATAAATTTTTTTTAAAGAAAGGAATTTTTTTTTCCTGGGAGAGAAAAAAAGAATGTACTCTTTACTTGAATGTCCAAAAAGAATGTACTCTTTACTTGACTTACAGAACTTGAACCCCTCTTTGTACACCATATTATAATATTTTATTTATTTGTTTGTTTTTTGCTGGTCATGGGGCCTGAACTCTGGGCCTGGGCGCCATCTCTCAGCTCTTCAGCTCAAGGCTGGTGTTCTACCACTTGAGCCACAGCACCACATCTGGCTTTTTCTGCTTATGTGGTGCTGAGGAATGGAACCCAGGACCTCATGCATGCAAGGCAAGCACTCTACCACTGAGCCACTTCCCAGTCCAATACAATGATTTTTTTAAAAAATCCTCAAAAAACTCATAGTCAGAAAGGTGTTTCACTTTTCCCTTAGCAGAAAGAGGAGTCTCATTTTGACATTTCATATAATATATCCTGATCAAATTCACCCCCCATCACTCTCATTTACCAATTTCCACTTTTGTTTTCTTTTTTTTTTTTTTGTCATTCATTGGCCTTGAACTCTGGGCCTGGGCACTGTCCCTTAGCTCTTCAGCTCAAGGCAAGAGTTCTACCACTTGAACCACAGCACCACTTCCAGTTTTCTGGTGGTTTATTGGAAATAAGAGTCTCATGGACTTTCCTGCCCGGGCTTTGAACCACGATCCTTCAGATCTCAGCCTCCTGAGTAACTAGGATTACAGGCGTGAGCCACTAGCGCCCAGCTACTTCCAACTTCTTAAAACAATTTTGGGCTGGGTGCTGGTGGATCTCAGGAGGCTGAGCTTTGAGGACTGTAGTTTGAAGTCATCCTGGGTAGTAAAGACCATGAGACTTTTATTTTATTTTTGCGGTTGTGGGGCTTGAACTCTGGGCCTGGGCACTGTCCCTGAGCTCTTCAGCTCAAGACTAGCACTCTACCACTTCAGCCACAGCACCACTTCTGGTTTTCTGGTGGTTAGTTGGAGATAAGAGTCTCCTGGACTTTCCTGTTCAGGCTATCTTTGAACCGCGATCCTCAGATCTCAGCCTCCTGAGTAGCTAGGGTTACAGACATGAGCCACTGGCACCTGGCCCCATGAGACTCTTATCTTCAATTAACCACCCACAAAGCCAGAAGTGGTGCTGTGGCTCAAATGGTAGAATGTTAGCCTTGAGCAAAGAAGCTCAGGGTAGTGTTCAGGTCCTGAATTTAAGCTCCAAGATAGGTACTAAAAACAAAACAAAACAACAATTTAAAAAAAACCCAGAAACAACAAACAAAAAACCAATTTTGAGCTAATAGCTCATACTTATAATCCTAGCGAGTCAGGAGGCTGCGATCTGAGGATCACAGTTCAAAGACAGACCAGGCAAGAAAGTCTGTGAGATTCTTATCTATAATTTAAAAAGTTATAAGTGGAGTTGTGGCTCAAGTGGTAGAACACTAGCCTTGAGCACAAAAGCTCAGAGACAGCACCCAAGCCCTGAGTTCAAGTCCCAGGACCCACACACATTTTTTTGACAAGTTTGTTTTCATTCATACAGATAAACTACTTTGACCATTTTCACCAAATTAATCTTCACTCATTCCCTGCATTATTCCTGGCTCTCACCAAAACATCCCACTGCAAAAGAACCTATTTTATCCAAGAAAGATGTTTCTTAATTCATGTAAGTACATTTTTGGGGGGGTGAGGGTGCCAGTCCTTGGGCTTGAACTCAGGACCTGGGCACTGCCCCGAGCTTTTTTTTTTGCTCGAGGCTAGTGCTCTACCACTTAAGCCACACCTTCACTTCTGGTTGTTTTTTTTTTTTTCCCAGTAGTCAATTGGAGATAATAGCCCCATAGCCTTTCCTGCCCAGGCTGGCTTCATATGGAGATCCTTAGGTCTCAGCCTCCTGACTAGCTCAGATTACAGGCGTGAGCCACCAGCTCCCAGCTTCATGTAAATACATTTAAAATGCTGGATCCAAGTTGCATTCTTCACCTCTATTTGTTTAGACCTGAAAACATTAGTGCTTTGTTTGTTGTGTATATATTTTACTTATTTGTTTATTCTGCTTGACCTAGAGCTTGACTGCTGCTCCTTCGCTTTCCCACTCAGGGCTGGCACTCTACCACTTGAGCCACAGATCCGCTACTACCACTCTGCTGATTAACTCAGAGTCTCTCAGAGCTCTTGTCTGTTTGTACTGGCTTTGAACCTATCTCCAACTAAGAGCAAAATGCCAGGCTTGAGGTGTGGTCTCAAATGGTAGAGCCAGCCATGAACAGAAAAAGCAGAATGAGATGGAGGGACCCTGAGTCCATGCCCTGGAATTGGAGGAGGAAGGAGTGGCTTGTGTACTTTCTGTCAATCTACTTGCTCTGAGAAAGGGAGAATGCCATAGTAACAAATGATTTCTAAACAAACCTTTATCCATAGCTTTTAAAAATCTGATCTAGGGATAAAATTCTGTCATTTTTCATTTTCTAATGTAGTTAGTTACATCTTTTTACATAGCTTCATGGATGTCACCTATTAAAATATAAAAATGCCTGGGCACAGGTAACTCATTCTAGCTACCTAGGAGGC